TGTTTACCTTCTAAGCCCGCAGTTGAGATAACTTCAGTACCATCCAAGTCATCATGAAAGTTTATAGAGTTTTTTATTTTTAGAAAAAAAATGGTTTCTGAGTATTTTTCCCTTACTGAAATTATGCAGGCAGATGCATTGTAAGCTTTTATTCACTATTAACCAAACACATTATACTTTATATTCTTTTAGCCTCCCCTCCCCCAAAACCATGTTTTTGTTTGTTAATATTTTGTTTTGTTTTTAACTGCTAAGAAGTTGCTAGCTGATGAGGAGTGGCCAGAAGCCAATTCCCCAGCTTCCTCTGGGCTCGATATTCTTCTAGTTCAGGATTAATAGAAAAGCAACTGGACTGGGCCAAATCTAGGCTCTTGATGTGTTAGAGAGGTCAAGTTCTAGAACCTCTAGGAGGCTCTGCTTCTCCCCTATAAAGAAGGGAGGGTGGGAAGAGTGTGGCTCTCTTACTCCTAGACTAGGAGGGAGGGGATCCTGGCTGCCTGTGGAGGTGAGATCTCTCAGTGGCCACATGCCTCATGCCTTTGACCTTAAACTGGTTTTCTCTTTTGTGGGATGGAGCATGTGACAGGCCTCAAGGCCACATTGAATAGCATGAGGCAGAAAGCCTTCTTTCAAATGAAAATAGAAGCCTTCCTTTATTTCTTCTGGGATCCAGTAAAACCAGCTGCATGAATCATGGTACTCCTAGAGCCTGTCTCACCAGCTCAAATCATAAAAACAGTAGCAGTGGTGGCCAGCGGTGGCCAGCGGCTACAGCAATGACACTGTCCCTTGAAAAGGCAGAATGAAGAGAGAAAAGGAAGAAAGATCTGTTGATATCTAAAGGGTTTTTCTTGCCATACTGAGTGTACACCCTGCCTCTTCACTATAAACCAGACAGGAAAGAAGAGCTTAGGCTCAGAACTGAAGGGGGAACAACCCCAGGGGTGGCTCCTCTGTAAGCCTGGTACACCTTCATCTCTTCCTGGCCTCACTTCAGCCTGCCTCTGCTCTTCCCCTTCACATGTGCCCTCAAATGTAGCCTTTTGGATTTAGATCTGCAGAGCCAAGGTGTGACAGTTAGGACTGGGTCACTGTTTCTAATCTGTTTGCCTTTGTGGTCAGGTCCATGTCATCCAACTGTAGTTCTTCCAGATAAGTGGGTAGGTCTTCTGGGGCAATTGGTGCTGAATTACTCTCCCAAGATACTTGATGGATTCTGGGACAGGGCTAACTGGCATTCTGTTGGTTGACATTTTAATCTAAAGAAATAAAACCCAGTCTGTGTCTGTAGATGTTATGATAATTCATACAATAGCATCATGACAGTTTTGTTCTATCTGTGGTTCCCAAAATATCAGATATTACTGATGCCAGTGCAGGGTGGGGGTAGGGGGAAAGGAGAGGAGAGGAGAGGAAAGAAGAGGAGAGGAGAGAAGAGGAGAGGAGAGGAGAGGAGAGGAGAGGAGAGGAGAGGAGGGGAGAGGAGAGTCTTCAGGATAAATATTTTCTTCTTCCTTGTCCAGACACCTAACTTTACAGATAGTAGACACTCCCAAAATGTCTTCCTTTGAGCACGGGATTGAAGAAACAGTGGGTTATCAGGATCTAAATGTCTACCTTCATGGGGCTTTGGTCCTTGAGTCCGGTAGCTGGCCTGTGATTAACCCAACACTGTGGCTTCTTCTTCCCCATGGCAGCCAAGGCAGCCAATCCGGCTTCTGGCCTTTGCTGGCATTCACATATTCATGGTCCGGTCTGTGAGAAGCTATGTTTCTAACCACCACCCCTGCTGCTGCCTCACTTAGTATTTTACCTACTTCTAGTGCTTTCCTTCTGTGCTGAGCCCCACCCCCACCTCACTCCAGGCAGGGCCATAGAGAGAACTGACCTATGAACACGCTGGTCTGAGAACTTAGGTTAATCTTTTTTTGTCCTGGGGTTACATTCTACATTCACAGCTGTAAATACTGAATTCTCATCCCATTCATTCTCTCTCTCTCTCTCTCTCTCTCTCTCTCTCTCTCTCTCTCTCTCTCCACCCCTCTCTCCTCCTCTTCTTTCTCTTCTTCCTTCTCTCCCTCCCCCTCCCTCTCCCCATCCCCCTGCCTCTTTCCCCCTCCCTCTCCCTCTCCTCCTCCCACTCCCCCGTCCCTGTCCCTCTCCCTTTCTCTGTCTCTCTCTCATCCTCTTTCTATCAACTGGAGACTGAACCTAGGGTATTGGTGCTTGACCATGCTAAGCAAATGCTCTATCATTGAACTGTGTGCCCAGCCTTCCTTCTTTTCCTCTGAGAATCACAATTAAGCTGACCAGGCTGGCATTTAACCCACTCTGTAGCCCAGGCTGATCTTGAATTTGTGATCCTCCTGCCTCAGCCTCCTTAGTAGTTAGGATTAGGATTAACAGACTTGTGTTACCAAGCCTGGTCTAAATATTGAACTGTTTGTTTGAATGAGTCAAGCATATCACCTAGTCTAAAGGCTCCCTGATGATACATGGAGAGGCTCTGATGCCATTCTTAACTTCTGTCCTGAGATTTGTGCCACCATTAGTGCTGTCTAGTGCCCTGCTGCCACCTTAGGAACTGCTGATCCTCTTGTGTGCCCCAGACTGGGAACCTGTTCCCCTCCGCAAGCTTTATCACACTGTATGGAGTTCGGTGTGAGTACAGAGCACCACTGCCCCATCATGACGTGAGCGCTCAGGGAGAATGCAATAAAATAACAAAAGTGTACCAGCGACTTACAGAGTCGTTACAGACGTGTTTTTAAGCCTTTTAATAACGTGAAGCAATATTTACATGATAGTGCTAAATGGAAAAACTAAACAACTCTATTTGACACAGAGAAGTGAGGCATGTGGTTAAGAGCAACTGCCATCTCTCCTCTCACGTCACTGGGTGAGAGACAGCCAACCGCTAGCCTAAATAGCGCTGTTTGTTACGTTGCTATCTTGTCTTTTTTTTTTTCATGCAAAATCTTATTTTAATAGAATTTAGATCTCTTCCCAGGTAGCACTGGGAGATGCTCTGGAGTGGCTGGATGCCTGACTGGCTGGAGGAGGAGGGGGAGCATTGCTTCAGGGGTGCCCCTGTAGACTGGTGTGAAAGCTGCTTCCCAAAACTCCCCATTCCTCATACAGACAAAGCAGCTCCATTTCCCCACGGGAAAGAAGGCCTGAAAGGCTCTCCTGGCTGGGACTGGGAACCTGAGTGACCTGGAGCTGATGGGAGGGCTGTCTTACTTTGGGATAAAGCAGAGACAAGGAGGAGAGCATACCGCTCGCTCAGAGGCAGAGCTGTCAGGCTGATGGTGGATGAGCCGGGTTACTTGGCAGAAGATTCCAGAGCAGGCTCTTACAAAACAAGGGGAGGTGTACACACCTTTCCATCTTTGACTAGTGAGGCACTTCCATAAAGTATCCCTTTTCATTTTGGGGCTTGTTCTAACCCCAGTAGGGGACACGCTACACTTAGTAGGATGGGTTTCAATCCAAGTATCTGAATTGGGTTATGTAAAAGAGAGTAGATTAGGTATTTGAAAAAGAAGATTCAAAGACAAAATTTCAATTTTGAATACTCTCTATGGAGAGTAAAGTTGTGGTGTATGTGCCTGAGTTTATAACTTATAGAGCACTCTTGTCTCTCCAAGTATTCAGTAATGTCCAGATTTAGTAGTTTCAAAGAAAAGCTTAGCTCTCCCAAAGAGTTCCTATGTCAGGCCCTTACACTAAATTGGCAAACAGGCAATAGAAAATCAACTCTGCTAAATGACTAGCTTGATGTCTCTGAGAGAACCCGGGTTCCCATTCAGGTCTGTACATGTGTATGTAGCTGGAAGCAAATGCTAAATGAGCCTCTGCTGCCACTGTCTCTGCCCTGTCACCCTCCCTCTCTACCCATAACCAGATCAGATCCTACAAAGTTGATGCCATTAAGATTTCCTTCAAAAGTTTTCTCTCTCTCTCTCTCTCTCTCTCTCTCTCTCTCTCTCTCTCTCTCTCGTAACAAGTATTTTTTCCCTCTGAAGCAATATTAAACCACAGGAGAAATCCATGACTTCATGGTATTTGAAGTATGGTCTCTATGTGAAAGGCTTCTTGGCTCCAGGTCCTTACATGACATTTCTGAAACCTGTCACTGTCCTGCACACACTCCCTGGAGGTCATGTCTGGGACTGTTAAAACCCACAGGCACGCTTTCCTCTTGTTGAGGTTGCAAAGAGTGTAGAGCAGACCTTTGTTCATAATTGCCCTTGCAGTACCTCAACCTGAAATGCTGGAGTCCAACCCAGAACTGTGTCAAATGAATGGCTCATAGGCCGGAACTCCACGGCGTTGGCGGGGACCAGAGTACTACTGATGCCAAACGGCCAGGCAGAAGAGACAGCCTGCCTATGCTGTTCCCTGCAGGGCCTGGTGGTGAGGGTTACAGGGAGGATGAGGGTGAGGGGAGAGGGAAGTCATGCAGCTACGATGGTCACACCCCTCCCTCAATGCCATAAGAACTCCTTCCTTTCCCTTCCATTCTTCTTACTGAGGACTTGGGCATCTCACATGGCTCACAGCATCTTTGCTACATGTGTGGACCTTATTCTCCTTCTAGGACTTATTCTTCTTGAAGGAGATCAATCACCAACATTAGAAGATTTATCAAGAGCATGCTATTGCCCCAGCATCTCATACTCGGGGTGCCAGGCCATGCTCATATTCAGGTAGATGACACCCACGCACACACTGCCACTGCAGCTGCGCTCTGCACTGGCCGTGTCCACTTCGACCCTCAGCCATCCCCTCTCTCTGCTGTTATGGCCATGTTCCAAGCAGACTTTGGAATATCTTCCCCCACAGCAGCATTGACTTTGGCAGATCTACTGGGGATAGATGATGTCCTAACTTATTTGCTTTACCAGAGCTGTTGTTTGCAAGGATTATTTGGAACCAGAACAAAAATCATCCCACGCCTTTACGCAATTCCTTCAGCAGACTCTGTCAGATAAATTAAGCCCTCCACCCCTCTGTTGGCCTAGCTCTCCAAGCTGATTATCTGGGCTGCTCCTGACATTTGCCCATCTTTCGGGACCTCTCTGGAGCAGCCATGAAGTCTTTGGTCCTGCTCCTTTGTTTTGCTCAGCTCTGGGGCTGTCAATCAGCTCCACAAGGTACAGGGCTGGGTTTTCGAGAATTGGCTTGCGATGACCCAGAAACAGAGCAAGTAGCTTTGATTGCTGTGGACTACCTCAATAAACATCTTCTTCACGGATTCAGTCAGGTCTTGAATCAGATTGACAAAGTCAAGGTGTGGTCTCGGGTAAGTAATCCTACCATGAATGAGCTGAATGAATTTATGTTGGGGGATCTAATCCAGTGCCCCAAAGGCTAGCATCTTTCAGTGGAGATAAAACTGCGGCAGAGACTGGTCTCTTGCTAAGAAGCGGAAAAGGGAAAGAGAGAGCAGAGGAGGCCACATTAGTACTGTAGTCATGCATCTCACAGAGGATGCTCCCATGGGGAGAGGAAAAGACCCTGAAGCATAGTTCACAGACCACAGTCGGAAGGTGGGACTTCTTGGGAGAACTTGGGCTCCTATATGCTAATTTGAAAATCACCTCTCTTTCTTGGCTTCTATTTATCTCTGATTTGATGGGTGTCCATGTGTGACAGCCCTTTAGTGCGGATCACTTTGTTAAATCCTCCCTTCCCCCATTCCAGACCTGTCTGATGGCCATGCTCTCCTTGGACAACAGATGTCATACGTTAACAGACTGAAACCACGAAACCTCCAAGACTTCTCTGCTTCTCTTTTCCTCTTTTCTGTCTTCCTTCCTTCCTTCCTTTTTTCCTTCCTTCCTTCCTTCTTTCCTTCCTTCCTTTCTTCCTTTCTTTCTTTTTTGAGACAGAAAGTTTCTCTTTGTAGTCCTGGCTGCTCTGGAACTTGCTCTGTAGACCAGGCTGGCCTCGAACTCTCAGAGATCCACCTGCCTCTGCCTCCTGAGTGCTGGGATCAAAGGCATGAGCCACCACGCCAGATTATTTGTCTGCTTTTAACATGCAAAGTTGGAAATTCCATATGGTTCAGTTTAATGTAAAGATGAGAAGGACAAGGTTGTGTCATTAGAGACTTACGATTTAGGAGGAAAATTATCAGGATGCTCAGAGTGAGGACTGACAACCAGCTTTACAAAGGGACAGCTGATTTGAAACCAGGGTTTTTCCTGGCTAAGTTTTAAGGGAAGTTGGCAAAAGACTTACTGGCCAGCTCTCTGTCTAATATGCATATACATACACACTAGGGAAAGCCGTGAGTGAGCACTGCGCATGCGCTACGTGCAGATTCCAGGCTGCTCACTGTGGGATGCCCGAGCAGATCTGGAAGTCCTGTGTCTTCAGGGGGTCATTTGGGACATCCCTGGACATAAACCCACTGCATCTACCCATGGTAGTTCTGAGGTCTCCAGTAGAGTGAAAATGATGGATGAACTAAGTTGGGTTGAGAGTTTTTAAACTTTGGGATATTTCAAGGTGTAAAAGGGGAATACATAAACAGGGCAGAGTACTGAACTCCGCAAAGGGTCCTGCAAGCTTCCCAGAAGGCTTCCACCCTAGTGATGACAGTTTCCTAGCCGCAGAATAGACAGGCAGCGAGCAGGAGATAGGACTCTATATCCAGGGCCCAGTAAGGTAGCCGATAGAAAGAGCCAAGCGGGGAGCAAGAGAAACTGTTAAAGACATGAAAACCCAAAGAAGGGGTAAGTGGGCAACCAGAGAGAAGAAAGAATGAAGTAGAGTGAAGGATAGCAAAGATAATATACTGTGAAAAATAAAAGCTAGCCCTCAGTGCCACTTCTCCTTTGTAAGGAGAACTCAGAATAAGGACTGTGGCTGGGACAGCTGTCCCAGTGCCCTAACCCCCCTTCCCCATTTCACGCCCGTTCTATCTATAGTGGAAGACAATAACTAAACAAACAAACAAAAACCATTGCAGCATTGCAGCGCTAGTAAGGGTAGAGACTGGTGAGGCTGGCCCCTCCTTACTCCTCCAAGTTCACCCTCACCCAAGCTCCACCATGGGGCTAGTGTTCACACTAGGTGGCACACATTGGATCGATGGAGTTTTGGTTCACTTCTTCCTTCCTTTGGTCTCCACAGCGGCCCTTTGGAGAGGTGTATGAGATGGAAGTTGACACACTGGAGACCACCTGCCATGCTCTGGACCCAACCCCCCTGGCAAACTGTTCTGTGAGGCAGCCAGAGGAGCATGTGAGTGGTACCTTATGGTGGGTGGGTGGCGTCTGTCCCACAGCCCTGCCAGGATGCTCCCTTAGTGAGCAGCCAGTGGCCCTAGATGTCAGCACCGGTTTCTTTCCGCAGGCGGTGGAAGGAGACTGTGACTTCCACATCCTGAAACAAGATGGCCAGTTCACTGTGATGCATGCTCAGTGTCATTCTACGCCAGGTTAGAAAACACGTCTACTCATTTTTTATCCTGTAGAATGAGAAAGGAATCAGAATAGTTTTGAATTCAAATAGTTCTCACTTCCTTGGTGAAGATTCCGGGTCTTGGGATTTCTAACACCACCTTTTGGACGAACTTTGTCCCTGTGGCTGTGAGTTGGTGACACCTCATACAGCTGCTTGAAGGTTGAGAGAAAAAAAGACATGCTACATTGGAGCATGAGGAGCCCTTTCTAAATAAGCAAGCTGTGGTGAGTACATTGGACAGCTGCAGTTAAGACCCTGTCGTCTTTCTGTCCAGACTCTGCAGAGGACGTGCGTAAGTTTTGCCCCCGGTGCCCAATCCTGGTCCGGTTCAATGACACCAATGTGGTCCACACCGTCAACACTGCCCTGGCTGCCTTCAATGCAAAGAATAATGGAACTTATTTTAAACTGGTGGAGATTTCCCGGGCTCAAAGTGTGGTAAAAACTTAATTCTCTTTTGGTAGATTTGAGCAAATTGGTGGCCCTTGGGGAATGTGTGTGTGTGTGTGTGTGTGTGTGTGTGTGTGTGTGTGTGTGTGTGTTGGGGGGGATAACCAGAAGAAGAGGGAACATTGGTTGAAAAACTAGTGGGGGGTCTAGAACTTTGAGGACTCCCAAACGCTCAGCAACCTTATCCCAAACTGAGCCACTCCAACATAGTTCAACCACAAGCAGGAAGCAGGTAGCACCCTGGCTTCCTGGCTGGACTTAACACCTCATGGGAGGGCTCTGGTCAGCAGGACACATTCACTGGGGACCACACATTTATACCCTACCAGTAACATCTGCAGCCATCTGGGAACCGATACTAACAAAGGGACGGGCAGACAAATAATGGTTCCTAATCTGCCTTTCAAATCCAGATGTTGAGATTGGGAGGGGACCATCTAATTGTATGAGCAAAGTAACTATTTGGGTGCAACAGACTTGGAATGTTTAAGGAAGCTGGCAATGGAAATAAGTCAAGACATACTTGCAAATACATTAGTATAATGTAATTCCTGGAAAAATTCCCATCCCGTACTACACCAGGTTCTGTGCTTGCAAGGCTCCAAGCATTGCAAGGAAGGAAGTGTAATGACTTCTGTTTGGATATTGATGTAGGAGACTGGGGTGGGGGATCTCTTTACTCCCCCACCCAGCCTGGAATGACCAGAACATTGGGTTCCAATGGTTAGGGGCCAGGAGATGCGGGGTTCCCATCCCTGCTTGCCTAAAGTTAGCCTCTTGGCTTCCTGTTTCCTCTCTGAAAACTTACCTCTGCCCTGGGTGATGGACAAGAACACTTACCAATACTTTGAGAAAACTCAGCTCCTACCTCTGAAGCCCAAGCATCAGGCACAATCCTTCCAATTGCCCAGGCCACACGCATAGCCTGTGTGATTGTGTTCTCTCAAACTGTGCCAGACTGTGGCCTCCCTATCTCCCTCCCTTCCTCCCTCCCTTCCTCCCTCCCTTCCTCCCTTACTCCCTTCCTCCCTCCCTCCCTCCCTCCCTCCCTCCGCCTCCCTCTCCCCTTCCTCCCTATCCCTCCCCCTTTCCCCCTTCCCCCCTCCCTTCCTCCCTTCCTCCCTTCCTCCCTTCCTCCCTCCCTCCCTCCCTCCCTCCCTCCTTCCTTCTGTCCCATCTTCCCTCACCCTCCTTCCCTCCCTCTCACCCTTCCTCTCTCCTTTGTTCCTATCCCTCCCCCTTTCCCCCGTCCTCCCTCCCTCCCTCCCTCCCTCCCTCCCTCCCTCCCTCCCACCTCTTCTTGCCCCTCTCATTCCATACCATCTTCCCCACATGTGTTCTCATTTTTATTCTCAGCCTATCCCAGTGTCTACTCTCGTGGAATTTTTAATAGCTGCCACTGACTGTACTGCTCAAGAGGTCACAGATCCAGCCAAATGCAACCTGTTGGCAGAAAAGGTGAGTGGGACAGACCCTGGGGCTCTTGCCACCAGGCAAATCTGGTTGTGGAACAAAGTATCTTTTTGCAGTTTACATCTTGGGGCTGAAGAAATAAAGTAAAAAACAAACAAATAAACAAACAAAACGTGCAAAATGTCCACTTGTGAAGCTGGAGAAATGGCTCATCAGTTAAGAGCGCATACTTCTTTCTCTGTTCATACAAAGGGGTCAAGGGGGTCAAGGTCAGTTCCCAGCACCTGTGTCAGGTGGGTCATCTTTAACTCCAGCTCTGACACCTCTGGCCTTGCACACATGCATGTGTGTGTACGCACACACATACACACACACACACACACACACAGAGAGAGAGAGACAGAGACAGAGAGGACATCAAAGTCGTACTCATAGTGACCTCAACTCATGGTTCAGTAGTGTTCGCAGCATTTATTTAAGATTAAAAAGAAAAACCCACACCGTATTACCAGTAGCTCTCTCCCTGTGTTACCACCATCTCAGTGATTACAGGAGAATGTTCTTAATCTCATAGTATTTCTGTATATTTACTGTTAGATGTGGAATTGCATACCATATATTTTCTTAGCAAAATCCATAAGTTTTAGTTAATACAAAGTAAGGATTTATTAAGTAAGATATAGGGTTCATTAATAAAGTGATAGCTAGCCGGGCAGTGGTGGCACATGCCTTCAATCCCAGCACTCAAGAGACAGAGGCAGGTGGATCTCTGAGTTCAAGGCTAGCCTGGTCTACAGAGTGAGTTCCAAGACAGCCCAAGCTACACAGAGGAAACCTGTCTTTAAGAGAGAGAGAGAGAGAGAGAGAGAGAGAGAGAGAGAGAGAGAGAGAAGATTGATTTTCATTACATGGCTATGACTTCTCTAGAGGGGATTGCGCAGAAATTATAAACTTAAAGGGGGTAAATGTAAAAAAAATTAGAAGTTTCTTTGTTTCAATATATTATACTATCACTGAAAACCTGGAGAGATCCATATTTTGCATCATTTAAAATAACCCCTGTCTTTCTTGAAACAGCAATATGGCTTCTGCAAGGCAACTCTCATACACAATCTTGGTGGGGACGAAGAGGTTTCAGTGGCCTGCAAATTATTCCAAACGCAGGTAACTTCATGGATGTTCTTCAAAACAGTGTCCCCTTAAGACTACTGTAGTGGATCAGTAATAACGGGACACTTGCTGTCCTGCCCTGAGCCCTGAAGTGGAGTGTAACACTGCAGTATGTGCACACTGGGTGAGGGATATTTCAGCCGTGCTTTCCCTCCCAAACTCTGGTGGGTGCGGGGAAACAATCCCTGTGTGTAGTTGGCAAGGCCACCTTGTTATGTGTGGGAGGTGGGAGTGCTCTTCCTAGTTACAGAGACCACGTGGGCTGGTCTGCCCAGCAGTACCCAAGTACACATGGCAAGGAGTGAAGGTTCTCTATGGGTGGGGAGCTTCTAAATGATTACATCTGTGGAAATCTACAGGGACTCAGGTAATAGAGGTGAGACTGGAGCTCCATCAGCCAGTTACCGCTCTTCCTGTGATGATCCTTAGCATCTTACCCGCTCTCCTTAGCTAGATTCTTCCCAACTAAAAATCATTACTGCAAGGGAATAGTGAGGGGTGTAACCAGACTCATAGGGAGCGGTGCCATAGGAGACCGTCTTACCTACTGAAATGGTCCTCTCTCCACCTGTGCCCCCACAGCCCCAGCCAGCCAATGCCAACATAGCAGGTCCTGCACCCACAGTGGACCAAGCTGCGCCTGCGGCCCCACCAGCTGGCCCACCTGCATCTGTGGTGGGAGGACCCATGGCAGTCCCTCTAGGACTTCCAGACCACCGAACCCACCATGACCTACGCCACGCCTTCTCTCCTGTGGCCTCTGTGGAGTCGGCCTCAGGAGAAGTTCTTCACTCACCTAAACCAGGCCAGCCTAGTGATGCTGGTGCTGCTCATCCAGCGCCCCCCATGTGCCCAGGGAGGGTCAGATACTTCAAGATCTAGATTCAACTCAATGAAGTAAGGTTTTGGCAGACAGAACACAGCCACCACTGAAGCTGGGGGCCTTGTCCACTGACAAAGCAAGTACCATATCACAGCTTGAGTTCCAGGTCTCTTCATTCCTCTGAGAACAGGGCCAGAGAAGTGATGGCCAAATTTGATGAAAGGCATAAAACCAGCAGCAATACTGGCACTGGTGGGGTAACAAACTACTGCCATCATTTCTCTGCCTTCTCACTGACCTCATACAAAACAGTTGCAACCGCGACTCTGAAAGGTGCTCTTGCCAGTCTTCGACCTAGTCAGAAATAAAAGTGCCCAAAGGGAGCTTTCTCAAATAAGAAGGTTCTGAGCCAAAATGTGGTCATGATCCTTGTCTACCTCCTTTCAGTCTCCCTGTGTGTGGTCTGTCCAACAAGCACACCAATGTTACTTTTCCAAAGTTTGCATGAGAAGAGAAACAGAGGGGAAGCAGGAGAAAAACGTCTGCTGGTTTGCAATAATCAGGAAAGGATGAGAGCAAGATGTGTCTGAAGCTCATGGGAGATGAGAAAACAATTCTGCCCACAGATGGAGGACCAAAAACATTGTTAAGGGAGGGCTCAGTGCCTAGGCTTTGTAAAGACAGAAACTTCTGGCTTTCCCCAACAATTAGGGAAGGAGGGATCAGTGATGAACACAGGAGTCCTTTTCACTGGCTTTACTCATTATGCATGCTCAAAACACCTCTTGATGGGGCTACTGACGTGATCCATGTGATCGCTTTGCAAGCCATATAACCTGAGCCCAGATAACCTTGCAAGCCAAATAACCACAAAAAGGCAGAAATCTTATAAAGTGAGCTTGGCCTTTCTAGTTTCATGTACTACAAGGCCAAAGAAAAAGGTCTTGTTTCAGAACCCTTACAGAGGGAGTCTGGGAAGGTGGCCTGTGAGTGACTGTAGATGCTCAGGTATCCAGATGGTACAATGGACGTAGTCCCCAATGTAGGCTTGGTCCTAGCAGTGCCAGTGTGTTTGTACTACAGCATTCTGATACCTCACTCCTGGGCCTTTCTGGGAAGGGTATTAATGTGTAAGACCAATCACAACTGAGAAGAATGAGCAAGTCAGGCATTGCCACTTAACTTTGTCACCTACCTTGAAGTTTTGTCAACATTACAGAAATAAAAGGTCCAGAAAAGCAAGAAAATCACGGGGGTCAAAGCATCCAGATAAAAGGAGGAGGCTGTGGGCAGGGCAGACAGGATACGAACTGACAAAAGCCACTGTTGATGACTGACAGGTTGTAGTGGGTGCTGGCTGGTGCAGTTGCACTAGGAGGGGTAACCTGAATGACAAAGGTCATGAGGAGGAAACAGAGAGCAGACAAGGTCCCCTTTATCAAGTGGATTATGAAGGGAACAAGAGATCAAATATGGTTCAAAGAAGTAAACAATAGGAAGAAAAGTTTCTCTTTTAAGAAAAAGGATTCAGAGTATTGTTAGGGAAACAGAAAGAAGTGGGGAGAGACATGATGAGCAGGTGTTAGCAGGGCTCTATTGTGGGAATTCTCCTCTGCCCTTTAGGAATCTCCCCAGAGGATTCCAAAGAGGCTCTCGTCATCAGGACTGCAAAGGAATTATCTATTTTTCCACTCTTGCTGCACACAGGAGTGGGCTGCGAGAAAGTAGCCCTGGTATCAGAGTTTCCCCCAGGGTGGAGAGCAAGTGTACAACCCGAATTAAGTAAAAAGAAGAATGATATTTATTGAGCTGTTTTTAACCCAAGAAACAGCTGGATCTGGGAGTTCAAAAGATGTCTTCAAGCCTCATCCTAACTGCTAGCCACACCCCTCTCCTTGCTTTCATTCTCTTCAACATGGCCACCAACAGCTTTGCATCTGCCCAGCCCTCCTTGATGGAAGACCAGCCAATACAGCAAAGGAATGAGCATTCTAGGTCAGAACAGCAGGCACTCGGGGCACTGTGGCAGGGGGTGTTAGTCCAGAGGTTTTCAATGAGAGTGGCAATGTGGACTGGTTTGCATGGAAGAATTGAGGGCAGATTATCTGGAGAGATGGCTTAGCAGTTAGGAGCATTTGCTGTTCTTGCAAAGGCCCTGAGTTCAGTTCCCAGCACTGGTCTGTTTCTCCAGTTCCAAGAGATCCAATATTCTCTTCTAGCTTCTGTGGGTATGAGACCACATATGGTATTCATAAATATATGCAGGAAAAAACACTCATACACATAAAATATAAATAAATTTAAAATAAAAAAGTTACTTATAGGCCGTGCCTCTCAGCCTGGGGATGGGAGCAGAACCACACCACACCTCCGAGAGTCACTTGGAAGTGGAGACATTTCCTCAGGGATGCCATTGACATTCAGAGGTCTGACACTGGAGCTGGCAAACATTCTGAAGTGTTCAAAACAGCCCTGACAATGATTAAACAATGCCTAGTCATCAGAGGAGTGCCAAAAGTAGCTACAAAGTTGCTTGCTGGAAAATTGGTTGAAGCTGCAGTCTAGGATAGAACCAGAGCCTTCTGGGGGAAGTGAATGTCTGAGGTGGTGGGCAGCAGATGGGCCCCAGGTGTTGCTGTTGGACTTGGCTTAGCAGTATGAAAAATGGCATGGTCTGGAGTTATGCCCTCGCAAACGGGGGTGGGAGTGGGGGGGAGTGTGTGGGGGGACAGTGGGACTGTCATGGGACTAGGGGAAGAAATGCTGTTCTGTACCGTTTGCATTAATTCAAATTCTCTTTCCTCAAAGTTTTCCTGTTTAGCTGACACATATAATTACCTCGTGGTTTTTAAGGAAGCAGTAAGGTCAGACAGACCTGCAGGAGCTGGGCCACAAGGGTTTCCCTTTGCTTCTCTGCTCCCCTCAGGGAAACAAGTGTGTGGAATGTGAGCATAAGCAGATGCTACAAATGTATACATGGAAACCGCCTGACACCTTCTGGGTTTACACACCCTCTCCTCCCTCTCTCTCTCTCTCTCTCTCTCTCTCTCTCTCTCTCTCTCTCTCTCTCTTTCTCTCCCTCTCTCTCTCTCTCTCTCCATGCGCACATGCGTGTGTATGTGTGTGTGTGTGTGTGTGTGTGTCTGGCTGAATGGCTGGATGGATGGATGGACGGCCATCTCTCCCTCTTCAGCCCTCTCAGCTTTCTCTTTCTTTGCTTAGAATTCAGTAGTTTCAGAGGCCAAGTTCTTGACATTCTCTTAAATCTATACTGTCCATTTGGCAACTTTGCCCTTGCTTAAGACTATCAGTCAAGCATAGATCCATTTCCCTGCTTTGCTCCAACTCAGATGTCATCCTGAATCCAGCATGGCACCTCTGATGCCTCCAGAAGTTCTATACTTGAATTTACCAGGAAAGGTTTCCTGGGCAGCTTATTTTCTGTAAACAATGCTTGCTGAAGACTTAGCATCACTGAAAAGTGAGTTATTTTAGAATAGCTTCATCCTAATTTACAGACACACAGTAGGGGAATGAGTTAGAAACTAATAAGCCTCTACCCTCACAGACTGTCTTTATAGCAGTTCTGACTGACATTTGCATTTGCTGCTGCTGTTGTCTGTCTGTCTGTCTGTCCGTCTGTCTGTTTGTCTGTCTGTCATTGTTTGAGGCTCACTATCTAGCCTAGGCTGACCTGGAACTCATGATGAAGCTCAGCCTGGACTCAAATTCTTCATCTTCCTGCCCCAGCCTCCCAAGTATTGGTTGTGTCACCCACTGAGTTTATATTTTCTTAAGATCATCTTTAGTATTTTTCAAAATGTTCCTTCCTAAATTAGAGCCTTACCTATGTTCCACTTAGGTGGAACATAGGTAATCACATCTGTTCTCCACTGGGTTTCAGGCGCATTTCTAAGTATTTGTACCATCACTGCCAATCACCTACATGGACAGATGTGTTGCTTTCTATTTCTGGGATAGATACTATGACCAAAAGCAACTTGGAAAGGAATGATTTATCTGGTTTACAAGTCCTGACCACCGCCGTGGAGGGAAGCCAGGGCAAGAACTCAAGGTAGGAGCCTCTAGGCGGAACCGTAGCAGAGGTCATGGAGGAACGCTGCTTACTGGCTCCATCTTTGTGGCTTGCTTGGTTTGCTTACTGTACAACTCAGGACCATCTTCCCAGAGGTGGGACCACCCACAGTGGGCTGGGCCCTCTCACATCAATCACCAATCGAGAAAATGACCTACTAAGTTCGAATTTTAGTAATCACAAGTAAATCATAAAAACTTTTAAAAATTCAAAATGAATTATCAACCTATATCATATATCACTCAACATCGGTTTTGGCTTTGTTGAGGCAAGGTCCTGTTACATAGAGCAGTCTCAGTTCCCAAGTGCTGGGATTACAAACATATAATCCACTATGCCTGGCTCAAAACACCAGTTATGTAAAATGTTAGAGGTGATAGAATATACTATTTTTCCCACTTCTGACTATACTTTCTCTACTTGGATCCAAGGACTACTAAGGAATATGTGACATATTGCACTGGGTTATAAAGACTATTGTCACTCTTAGTATATGTATGTGTGTGTGCACACATGTATATGTATGTGTATGCTTGTGTATATAATATTCAGTCAAGAACTGATGACTCAGCCTTCCTTTTACATGGCCTGCTAAAACTAAGAATGTCTACAATGTTCACCATAGTATTACTTCAAGAACAAAATTACAAATATAAACTGTTTATAACTTATTGTATATAAGCTATCTAGCAAGCTAATGCATCACCTCCAAGAACCAACTGGCAGAAATTTAAAATCCTGTCATTAAAAGTAACAAAAGAGCTCTATCTGCTCTTTCTGCTGTCCCTGGTTAAGTTCTCAGCACCCACAAGACTCACAACTGTCTGAAACTCCAGTCTCAGGGGAGACTGATGCTCTCTTCTGTCCTCTATAGGCACAGACATACATGGAGGCAAAACACTCAAAATAAAAATAAACAAATAAATATAAACAAATAAACATAAAATAAGCCAGGCAGTGGTGGCGCACGCCTTTAATCTCAGCACTTGGGAGGCAGAGGCAGGCGGATTTCTGAGTTCAAGGCCAGCCTGGTCTACAGAGTGAGTTCCAGGACAGCCAGGGCTACACAGAGAAACCCTGTCTCGAAAAACTCAAAAAAAAAAAAAAAAAGAAAGAAAAAGAAACAAATTTTAAAATTTAAAAAGTAACAATTCACCCAGGAAAATATTTACAGTGTAATGAAAGGGAAGATTTTAAAATAGCATGATCCTGATTTTCTAAAATTAACTTCTACAAACATGTGAAGACTTTAAAGAATGACTAGGTAATAGAAAAGGAAATGTAAAGTACTATGTCTGGACTATGGACTATGTGGGATT